AACCCGGCCCCTGGCTCAAAAAGGTTGCCTACCCCTGATCTAGCATGTAGCCTTCTTTTCTTTCTATTTGCCTCCACTTTTCCTAACATTATTGTCTTTTCCAACTATTCGTGCCTTCTCATGATATGTCCAGAGTACGACAGTCTAGGCTTCTAGGGATATCTCTGGCTTGATATGTTCTAGGACCCATTTGTTTGTCCTTTTGGCTGTCCATGGGATCCTCAGCACTCTTCTCCAGCACCATATTATCTCAAATTAGTTGATTTTCCTCCTATCTTCCTTCTTAACTGTCCAGCTCTCACATCCATACATGGTAATAGGGAATACAATGGTTTGTATGATTTTGACTTTTGTGCTGAGTTGTATGTCTTTGCATTTTAGGATCTTTTCTATTTCATTCATAGTCACCCTCCCCATTCTTAATCTTCTTCCGAAGTCCCTGTTCCGATCAATGCTTGATCCCAGATATGAGAAATCTTTTACTATTTCTATGTCCTCATTGTCTAGTTTGAATGTGTGTAAGTTCTCTGCGGTCATTATTTTTGTTTTCTTTATGTTCAACAGTAAGCCTGCCTTTGCACTTTCTTCTTTGATCTTCCTTTGTAGTTGTTCTACAAATGGGTCAGATAAGGCTGCAACCTTTCACCCTATCTTTTCAACTTGTATGCAGAACATATAAGAAAAGCAGGCTTGGACACAGAAGAAGGAGGAGTGAAAATAGGAGGAAAGAATATCAACAATCTAAGATATGCAGATGACACCATAATACTAGCAGCAAATCTCACAGACCTGGAACATCTACGGGTATTAAGGGGTTGCAGGAATTGAGCAGAGCAGTGGAGGACAGAGGGTCTTGGAGATGCCTCATCCATGAGTCGAGATCGACTCGAGGGCAGTTAACAACAAGTAGTTGTTCCAGGTCTGTAAAGTTCTCTGCTAGTATTATGGTGTTGTCAGCATATCTCAGATTCTTGATATTTCTTGATATTTCCTGTTTTCCCTTCTCCCTCTTCCATGTCCAAGCCTGCTTTCCTTACAATATGTTATACATATAAGTTGAAAAGGTAAGGTGATAGGATGTAGCCTTATCTGACTCCTTTGCCAATTGAGAACCATTCTGTTTCTCCGTCTTCTGTTCTGACAGTAGCCTCTTGTCCTATGTACAGATTCCTCATTAGGACTATCAGATGTGCTGGCACTCTTATGTCTTTAAGGGAGTTGCTTAGCCTTTCATGATCTATGCATCTAAACCCTGCTCCCCCCCAAAAAAAATTGGTACTCAAAGCAGCTTACAATTTAAAAGAGCAATACAGTTAAAAACATTCAAAAGTGCGTATTAAAATAGAGTGAAACTACACTCTGCGGCTACATTTACACTGCATAAATAATGTGGTGCAATGCTATGGAATTCTGGGAAGTGTAGTATGTTGTGACACCAAAGCAGAGCCATTATCATCATCATCATCATCATCATCATCTATATCCTTGTTGTTGCTAACAGCCCTCAAGTCATTCTCAACTCATGGTGCCCCTATGGAAGAGACATATGCCAGACCCTCTGTCCTCCACTGCTCTGCTTAAATCCTGCAACCTCTTAATACCTGTGACCTCCTTCTTAGAGTCCATCCATCTGGCATGTGGCCTTCCTCTCTTCCTCCCTCCCTCCATCTTTCTCAGCATTATTGTCTTTTCCAAAGAGTCCTCTCTTTTCATGATGTGTCCAAAGTATGACAGTCTCAGTTTGGTCATCTTGGCTTCCAGGGATATCTCTGGCTTGATCTGCTCTAGGACCCATTTGTATGCGGAACATCTAGGAGGGAGCATATAACACCTGTACTCAAATCCCTCCAC